TCACATCTTCAATCTCCTCACACCTCACACCTCCTCCCACCTGCTTCCACCGCCTCACACCTCCAACACACCCCTCACATCCCCTCATATGCTCTTCATGTCTCCTCACACCCTCCTTTCACCTCCTCACACCACCTGACAACTTCCTCACACCCCCCACACACCTCTTCACATCCTCCTCATACCTCCTCACACCCCCTCACACCCCGTCCTATCACCTCACACTTCTTCACACCTCCACACACCCTCCTCACACCTCCTCACATGTCATTTCACTCTCCTTAACCATCCTCACACTTCTGTCACGTATCTAATCTTGGGAACCATTCTCCACCCCAGGCAGCCTCTCCCAGCTCCTGCACTCCTCGAGGTGGAAACGGATCCCAGTACTATCGTAACCAGGATGAGGACCTATTCTTGTTACTGTAGTATTTGGAAGGGCTTCCTGGAGGAGGTAACATTTTACCAAAATCTGAAAGTTAAATCCGTGGGGTTTTAGGAAAGAACGTTCCAGCTGTGGACACAGCACGTGAAAGGTGCTCAGGCATGGACTATGAATGGTTCCAGTTGTAGATGTGTGGAGGTGAGGATACAGGGACAAATGGTGAGGGCCTAGAGCAGCTGGGGCAGGGGGAGCAGGGGAGTTTGTGACCTGTGGTGCCTTTCATGCCCCGATGGACCACCACAGCTCACCAGCTGGGTCCGGAGACCTGGGACAGGCACTGACCACCCCTTGCTCAGGGCAAGGGACCCCACCACGGGCCCCAAAGGAGTGGAGGCCTTACAGGTCTCAGGGGGCAGACAGCAGCAGGACCTTCCCCGCCACTGGCCTGCTGGGCCTGTCTCTGGGATGTTTCTTCAAAGGCGTTGTCTTGGTTTGGGTGGCTTCTCCATACAGACATTTACTTCAGGACGTTGGGAGTCTGAGATCACGACATCAGCAGATTTGGTGTGTGGTGAGAACCGGCTTCCTCTTCCCACTATCCTCACATGACAGGCTCTCTGGAGTCTCTCTTATAAGGTCACTAATCCCATCTTGGGTTCCACCCTCATGGTCTAATTATCCCCAAAGGCCCTACCTGCTACCACCATCACCTTGGGGGTTAGGTTTCAATATTGTGGATTTTGGAGAGGCACAAATGTTCCGAACAGGGCAGGTGTTACCAGCTCAGGTAAAACTGTCACTCCGGGAAACTCTCGTCACCTCCTGGGGGCCAACTGTGCTTGTACCTTCACACAGTGGCCTAATTTACTCTTACCTGCGTGTCTTGACCTGGGAGCATCCAGCACCTTTACCCAGGTGTCTCTGTCACCTTCAGCAGGGTGTGTCCGTCACCTTTTCCTAGCTGTGTCTCTCAGAGAGTGGGACGAACATGGAGAACACCCCAGGGCTCCTGCCCGGGAAGAAATTTACCCTGGGAATTGGTATCTCGGCCCCTCATGATGGGTGGAGTGGCTGCAGACCAGGCAAGACATGCCTGGCTGAGCCTCAGGGGTCTGCTGGCCCCCAGAACCTCTGCCACCCCCGAGTCTGAGTCCAGAGCGGGTGCAGGGACCCGGCCGCTGGTGTGGCAGGCCAGTGGGAAGGCGGCCTCCAGTCCAGCCTCCGCAGTGATGGGAGCCGTTCGCATGGGGACCTGGCTGCAGGGGATCTGAAATGCAGTACGTCTCTCCAGCCCCGGTCAGGCCCCAGAAGGGGGACTGCCGGGGAATGGGCAGGCTCGCAGGTCCCTCACCTGGGCCCTGAGCAAGGGCAGGAGGACCTCCGTGTGGGGCAAAGCTGTGGGCTCCATTCAGCCCAGCGGCTCAGGGTGGCCCTCGCATCCTCACGGCCGAGTACAAGCAACCGTGCTTGCTCCACCCGACGGGGTGTCCCAGAGAGAACCATGCACCTGATGCACCTTCCCACAACCTGGTAAATTCACGGAGAGAGTTCTGGCGAACAGCATTTAACTGAGCAGTGCTGTCCCAGGCCTGCTTCCATGATACACATGGGCAACTGCAGCTCCGCCTTTGGAGCAGCACAGCGGTGGCGAGCGGGAGGCCACGCGGGCCCGCGGCATCCAGGCGTGCCAGAGGCTGCTGCCCAGCTCTCCCGCGCCCTGGCCCTCACTTGTCCGCCTGGGCACGGGAGTGAGGGAACTAGGCCCCGAGCCGGCCGCGTGGGGGTGGGACACCATGCCCTGGAGCTGCTTCCTCGGGCCCGTGCCCTGCCACCCTGAGAGCTGGGAGCGCTGTCATTCCTGGAGGTGGCCAGCCCTGGCATCTCCGGAAACCTCCCGTGGAAACCTAAACTCATGGTGATTCTTGGGTTGACAAATATGCTTCTGTTTCCCCAAAAGGAGGCTGTCGGGGGAGGAGCTGGCGGGGAGGCAATTGGGAGAGGGACCGCGGGCGGCCAGCCTGCTCGTGTGTCTGTGAGTGTGTGCGTGTGCGAGGAGGGCAGGTGGAAGCCCCATCTTGGCGGTTGTAATGAAAATGGCGGTGCCCGGAGGGATGCGGTGCTGTGAGCTCCTGCTTCAGGCGGGCGGCACGCACGGCCCGGCACTGGCGACTTGGTGGGCTTACAGGGCCCTCAGGATCGTGCTGCTGGATGCCACAGGGGGGGCACCAGGCCCTCTTGAACCTGCACACTTACCCTCCCGTGTCCACGAGGGAAGTTTCCACATTGGGATCCTGAGCCTGAGGCTGGCAGGTGAGACGATGAGCCAGAGGCCAGGGCCTCAGATGGCACAATGACGTTTTTCATCTCTAAAAGTTCTAGTAGGTTCTGTGGACTGTTTTACTCCCAGTCTCCGCCTGCAATCTGGGACAAGATCTTGTGCTCATTTCCAGGCCCTGACTGTAGTTGTAGCCATCAGACCCACCCCAGACCCGCTAAGCCCAGGTCCTCACCTCCCAGTGGGGAGGGGCTCCATTCCCAGGACAGGGGCTAGCAAGGCCAGGCAGGGCCCAGGACCTGGGTGTCCACTCTGGTGACTGGATGGGGACACATCATGGAAAGGGAATGAGGACAGTGGTGAAGCTTGGACCGCCTCACATGCTGGGTCCCCCTTCTCCTGGCCAAGTAACCTCTGTTTCCTCTTCAGGAAAGGAGGGGTGCAGCCCCCACGTGCTGGGACCACTGGGTGGAAGGAAGTGAACACACGTGGGCACTGGGGCTTCTTGGGGTATGTGGCTGGTGCCCCTGGCGTCCCAGGGCAGTGCCCCCACCCAGCCTTCCTACCTGGGCTGGGGCTGGTGGCTGGGAAGGGCCAGGGTATGGGCAGGGACGGGTGTGGGGGCACACGACACACCAAGCAGGGACGGCAGAGGGGATCGATGTGGGAGGGGCGTGCCCTGGAGGGAAGCTGTGGGAAGGGGTAGTGGAGGGAGAGCAGGGAACACGTGGGGGAGACGGTGAGGCAGGGGGTGTGTGGGGGTGGGCGCTGAGGGCAGCAGGGCCTGGGAGGGCAGCCTGAGTAGGACCTGGGCCCCAGGCTGCTTGTGGGACAGCAGGTGCCCTCAGGGTCAGAATCATCTAGAAAACACTCCTGAGAAAAAGGACAAGACTCCAACATTTAATATTGTTGAGTACCTTTGTCAGGTGAAGGTAACTTTCTTAAAAAAGTATAAATAGTGAAAAACAAGCATTTAGAAAAGAAGTGGCAGGCCCCCAGGCGGGCGGGTGGGGGCGTCAGAGCCTTCCCAGGTCGTCTGTGAGGAAGGCCAGCAGGAAGCGGCTGACGTGCCTGTCGACAATGATGGGGGAGAAGCCCAGGACACGCCGGGCCCCCGGCAGCACCTTGGGGTCTGGAAGACAAGGTGGTCTCAGAAACCGCCACCACCGTTCTCAGCCCCATGCATCGTCACCAAGCCCCACAGCCGAGGGACATGGGGTGTCCCTGCCAAGCAGGCCTGCCCGGCGCTGCCTCCCCACGCACGGCTTCCACAGGCCCGGTGTGGCAGGAAAGGGAAGGCAGCTGCCACGCTGGGCCACGGGCCTCCCGTCCACTTGTCAGGGCTGAGCTGTGGAGGGGCCAGAGGTGGGTGTCCTGCTCCAGGCCACACACGGGACGGGGCTTTCTAACCCCAGAGCCCAGCTACGCCCCGCCTCCCATCAGGGGCTGTCATTCCCTGCCCTCCCTGGGGGTGGAGGGCTTGAGAACCGGGGCCCCACATTCCCTCTTCTTCCTGTGCCCTGCAAGGTGGGCCCTGCCACTGTCCCACTGTATGTGCAAGGAAACTGAGGCACAGGGAGGCCAGGGGACTCGGTGCTTGGGCCTGGCCAGGCAGCACCCACCTGGAGGGCCGCAGTAGACGAGGAGCGCCAGCCCCGCGGCCAGGCCGAGGCAGGCCAGGAAGGCCACGGGCCCTGGGGAGAAAGGGGGTACGTGAGCAAGTGGCTGGCTGAGCCTGGAGGACGGGGCACCCCAGCAAGCACCCTGGGGCCCGTGCAATGGGAAGCCAGGACCAAGCCTGACTTGGAAAGGAGCAGCCCCTGAGGCAGAGACCGAACCCTTGGGGGGGGATGGGGTGGGGGTCGCGGAGGCGGTTACCCCTGTCACTGAGCTCGCGGCCCACGGTGCCTGAGTCTAGCTCTGTGCAATCTGAGTTCTCTGGAAACAAAATCACAGGGCTCGGTTAGTGGTGAGCGGGCCAGAGGAAGGGGGTTGCCCCGCCCGCAGGAAACCAAGGGCCTGCTCAGGCTTCTTCTCCCCAACCCTGGGGGCCCCCAGGCTGGGCGGAACCAGGCTGTATGGGCACCCAGCCTTCTGGGCTGGGCTTGGGGGAGTCAGCACCAGAGAGGGGACCCTGGGACCAGCCTCATGGAACCCTGAGTTTTGGGTTTCCTTCTGTCCACTTCCTGAGACCCTGAGGGCCATGGGGTGGGGGCCATTGTTCCCTGCAGATGCAGACACCAAACGCAGCATGAACACCCGCCTGTCCCAAGTCTGATGTCCACATGAGGGCAGGGAGCGTGTTCTCCCCAGAACTCCCCAACCAGCCACCCGCTGATGGCCCAAGAGCCTGGAAGGTACGTGACTCCCAGTCAGGCTGTGGGGCCCCCCAGTGGCTGGTATGATGTGCTGGTCCTGGGCCAGAGCTCAGGGCCCAGTCCTGCCGCCCGCCCTCAGGTCAGGGACACCAGCCCTGGGTCCCAGCTGAGCATCCTGGGGTGGGCGGGTGAGCCACCCTGTCCCTCAGGCCTCCAGCTTCAGATCAGAGGATTGAGGGACAGCAGCCCCTCCTCCAGGGGACCAGGGCACAGAGGCCTCAGAAATGAGCTGCTATCCCTGCCTACGCCTCCCCCATCCCCAACCCAGCAGCAGAGGGTCCCTCGGGACTCACACGTCTCCTGAGCACTCAAGCAAGACCCTCTAAGCCAAACGCACGTGCCTTGGACCAGCCATCTGTGCCCAAGTCTGTTCTACAAAAACACCCACACTGCAGGGATCCCCCCGGGCATCCTCGGTTGTGGGGGCAACCTCGGCTTCTCCATGGGGGTATAGTTGGCTCAAGCCTGGTACAGCCGTGAGCCGCCTCCAACACAAGCCTAAGGATTCCCAGTGCGCTAGGCTAGAGAGAAGGGCAGAGCCTCGCACACAAGATGCTACCTTCTGTGTAAAGACTGGCCCAAGAGAGACAGAGACAACGATCTCTGCATCTGAAACACTCCCTTCTCTCTCTGGGGGCCACTGCGCAGATGGCCTTGGGTGAGGGGCCGGGCACACTTACGCGGGCCGAGCCGGCTGGGCAGGCGACTGTGCAGCAGCTGGGCATGGATGTACAGGGCCCGGTAGAACTCCTGGCAGTCCCGCTCGCCGCTCCGCTGCAGATGGCCCAGGAGGTCACAGAGCCGCATGCGCAGGGACGCCTTGGGGTTCCGGAACTGGGGGTGGAAGGGGTGCAAGGGAAGGTCAGGCTCAAGGGCAGGACACTCAAAGGAGGCAGCTACTGACCACCCCAGACCACCCAGGGCCACAGCCCACCCACGCTGCAGTCACAGCACAGTCATGGTCCTTGCACTCCCTCCGCTGTGGAGGCCAGACAGCATCAAGGAGGAGAGTGGCGACATTATTCCAACTGTCAGAAGCCGATGGCTTGCTGTGTGACTTTGGCAAGTCACTTCACCCACTACGACTCTGTTTCCTCAATTGTAAAAAGGATATAATAAACAAACGGTAGGGTCGCTACAGGGAATCAATGAGGTGATGGCGTGAGTGATAACTTCCAGTAGTTTACAGTCTACAGGAATGTGATTCAAGTTTTTAAAAACCAAGGGTTAAGGGGCGCCTGGGTGGCTCAGTTGGTTAAGCGTCTGCCTTCGGCTCAGGGTCCTGGGATCAAGCCCCACATCGGGCTCCCTGCTCATTGGGGAGTCTGCTGCTCCCTCTGCCTGCTGCTTCCCCTGCTTTGTGCTCTCTCCCTCTCTCTCTGACAAATAAATAAAATCTTTAAAAAAATAAAAAATAAAAACAAGCTCTTTTGATGTGTTTGATGGAGAAATGTATGGTTCTAAAGGTCAGTGACCTGGGCTCTTGCTTGGATCCCTGGAACCCAGAAGCGGTGGCCTGGTGCTGCCACCTGGTGGCAGCATACCATTCCACTTGGAACCAGAATTGAACCAGAAACTGCAAAGGCAAAGACAAGCATTCGGCTGGAGCCACGGAAACTATGAGGAATGGAATACTGTGGGTGTGTATATGCAGGAGTCTCCTTTTTTTTGTATAAACATCTGAAACTTTTCAAATTCAAATCTGTACACAATATATTAGACTTAATTACGATAAGAAGGGATAAATTTTACCCATGCTTTTTAACTTACTGCATACGTTTATAACTTAAGCTTCTGAGCCGGTAGCAGGGCCCAGCTGGATTTCGGCTGTCCCCAGGAGAGGCCCCAAACCCCGTGGACAGCCCTGCACTAGCGGCGGGAGCTGCAGCTCCAAGAGCAGGGCTCAGTCGGTCACCCAGCTGGAGGGGAGCCCCGTACCCCGAAGCCCTGGTGCTGAGGGGGGAGCAGAAAAAGGGCAGCACAGGCAAGGTGCACCCACTCTCCCTTGGTTTCCCCAAATGTTTGTTCATTTTTGAACCTCTGTAAGAGGCAGGAGCAAAGCCGTGTGGCACTGGGGTGGAGCCTGGCCAGCAGCCCCGCTCCTCCCCCACTCCCCACGCCACCCCCAGGCCTGTCATGTGTGGGGGCACACTGTCCTGTCTCCTGGGGTGCTCCTGGCATCTCTGGAGGGCTGCCAGCAGGCCCCGATGACATAGGAAGAGACTGAGGCTCGCAGAACTAATGTTCTGGGCCTAACATCACTGCGAGGAGCTGGGCTTTCACCTCTGAGCTGTCCTGTCCTGCCCCCCACCCTGCTTCCTCCCAGCCCCGGGGGGAAGGGACCCACGGGAGACATGCCAGCCCCCTCCCCATTACCTTCTCTGCATCCTTGTTGCTGAGGATCTGAGGGTAGTAACGGTTCAGCTGGAGGACGATCCTGTCCACCTGCTGCTCACTGAGGCTTCCCTGGCCCATTAGGAAAGGTGTGTCCTGGACCAGGCGGTCACAGTAGGTCTGCTCTGAAACAGCAGGGAGCACGGAGGGCATGAGCCAGCACGGCTGGGGTGGGGGCTGGGGCAGCAGGTCCCCCACACCACACACAGCGTGGCCCCCAGGCCCCTGGAGGCACATCGGCTGTGAGCTCCCAGACAACTGCTGACACCCCACCTGTGTGGGCTACGCACAGCCGGACCCCCCGGCAGGCTCGCTGCCGAGGACAGAGAGGTCGAGTGCGCTGTCCACGGGGAAGGGCCCAGGCGGCCTGGAGAAGGCCTGACCCGGCAGCTCCCACAGCAGTTCTCACAGGGGCAGAAGCGCAGGGCTCAGGGGGGCCATGCTGGTGTGGCCACGGACACGCCGTGCCTGCAAGGCCCCGAGAAGCCACCACTGCCGCAGAGCTCCGTGCCCCCCCACCCCGCCCCCACCGCCACGGGCCGGGATGCTCTTCCCTTCGTTGCTTCTTTCAGGACCATCATTAAAGCCTCACTGTGCACCTGCTTTCCCATTAAGAATGTTCTTTAGAGGGCGCCTGGGTGGCTCAGTTGGTTGAGCGGCTGCCTTCGGCTCAGGTCATGATCCTGGAGTCCCGGGATCGAGTCCCGCATCGGGCTCCCTGCTCGGCGGGGAGCCTGCTTCTCCCTCTGACCCTCCCCTCTCATGTGCTCTCTCTCTCTCATTCTCTCTCTCACAAATAAATAAATAAAATCTTTAAAAAAAAAAAAAAAGAATGTTCTTTAGAATGACAGGCCTCTAAAGACCAGGGGGGTTAGTGGTTGTTGGGCAGCCCAGGATCCCCAAGGGAGAGTCCTGATTCCACAGCATCAACTACCTGAACAGGTGCGCTGCCCCCCGACCTGTGGCGGCCGATGGACGGGGTTGGGCACAGCTACATAGGAGGAGACTGTTTGTATGTGATTGGAGTTAACTCGCTATCCGTTCAATTAGATGGTTACGACTTTAGGATGTTATGTGTAATTCTTATGGTAACCACTAAGAAAATATCCATGGAATATAGACAAAAGGAAATCAAAATGTGTTACTAAAGAAAGTCAAACAAACATGAAAGAAGGCAGTAGTGGATGAAGGACAAAAATCTGTAAGACATCAGAAAACAAATAGCAGAAAGGTAGAAACGAGTTATTCGTTATCAGTAATTAAAGACACAGATTGGCAAAATGGATTTGTGAGGGGCACCTGGGTGGCTCAGTCGTTAAGCGTCTGCCTTCGGCTCAGGTCATGGTCCCAGGGTCCTGGGATTGAGCCCCGCATCGGGCTCCCTGCTCGGCAGGAAACCTGCTTCTCCCTCTCCCACTCCCCACTGTGTTCCTGCTCTCACTATCTCTCACTGTCTCTCTCTGTCAAATGAATAAAATCTTTAAAAAAAAAAATGGATTTGTGATATTGTGATTTAATGTCAGCAATATATATTTGGTCTTCATCCCAATTCCTGGCACAGAGCTCCTAAAACCCTTGGAATTTCCTAAGTGATGAGCCACGAAGGGGAAGGGTGCCTTTCGTTGCTCATAACAAGCCCCTTTCAGCCTCATCGGACTTTGTGTGAATGGGGTGATTTTCTGAAAGCCCCTAAACAACCACAGGATGCGAGCCGGTTGCCAGTGAAGCCAAGCACATGGTTAGAGGCTTGGAGCTTTCAGTCCCACCCAACGCTGACCTCTAGGGAGGGGAGCGGGGCTGGAGGCTGAATAGACCACCAAGGGCCAGTGATTTAATTAACCGTGCCTACATTAAACAAAACAAAACAAAACAAAGAAAACCTGCCTAAAAACCCAAAAGGATGGAGTTTGAAGAGCTGCCAGGTTGCTGAGCACACAGAGGAGCTGGGAAGGTGGTCCGCTCGGCAGGGACATGGGAGCTCTGTGTCCCCTCCCACATACTTTGCCCTGTCTCCTCTGTGTGGAGGGTCACTTGTATCCTTTGAAATGTCCTCTGTAATCAATCGGCGACAGTACCGAAAATGTTTTCCCAGGTTCTGTGAGCTGCAGTGAATGACTGAACCAAAATGGGGTCCTGGCGCCCTCGGGGTACAACCAGTCCATCAGCAGCACAGTGGCAGCTAGCCTGGCGACTGGCATCTGCGGTGGGGGCGCCATACAGGACTGAGCCCCTGCCAGGTGGGGCTGGAGGCCTTCCCCAGGGAGACGGTGTCGGAGACCCACAGCTGGTGTCGGAGAGTGGCTGGGTGGAGGGGAGACCACACGTCTGGTGACCGGCAGCGTCAGGGGGCCTCAGGACTATGAGTGCTGGGCAGGAATGGAGGGGAAGCAGAGCTCTCGTCCCTCTCAGGATTAAAAAAAACATGATTCAACCATATGCCGCCTCCAAAAGACTCCGATCCAAAGACACAAACAGGCTGAGAGTGAGAGCAGGGGAGCAGCTGAAAGAGCGAGGGGCTCCACGAACAGAACACAAGAGACTTTGCACCACAGACGGGTACAAGAGACACAGAGGTACATCCTACGTTAATAAAAGGGTCAATTCACCAAGAACATCAAACACACACCTGCGCCAAATATCAGAGCCCCCAAATAATAGTAAAGATTTAGTAATAATGAATAATAAGAATAGTTAGAGACGTCAGGACCCCACTTTCATAACAGCCAGCATAGAGAGAACTGCACGGGTGAGCTGCAGTATAAACCAACCACAGCTCTCACACACACACGGACACACGGACACACACGGACACACACACACACGGACAGTCCACCCAACGGAACAGGTGCATCGCATGTCACTGTGCTTCGCGGACACCATGTTTCCACAAACTGAAGGTCTGCGCCAAGAGTGAGTCTGTTGGCGCCACTTTTCCAACAGCATCTGTTTGCTTCATATCTCTGTGCCACGTTTTGATAATTCTCACAATTTAAACTTTTCATTCTTCAAACCTTTTCATTATTAATTGTTATGGCGATCTGTGATCAGTGATTATGACTTGCTGAAAACTCAAGATGATTGGTAGGATTTTTCAGCAATAAAGTATTTTTAATTAGGGTACGTACACCGTTGGACATACGCTACTGCACACTTCATAGGCCACAGTATAGCGTAAACGTAACTTTTATACGCAATGGGAAACCAAGAAATTCACTGGACTCACTTGACTGCAATATTCGTTTTTGTGCTGGAACAATTATTTATTGTCTGGAACCAAACCCACGATAGCTCTGAGGTGGGCCTGTACACATTCTTCTCAAGTGCCCACAGAAAATTCTCCAGGACAGACCGCAAAACAAGTCTGGCTACAAAACAAGTCATAATATATTTTAAAAGACTGAAATCATACAAAGGGTCTTTTCTGATCACATGGAATAAAGTCAGAAATCAGTAACGGAAGGAAAACTGGAAAATCCGCATGTGAAAGTGAAACAATGGATCAAAAGAAGAAATCACAAATGAAATGAGAAAATATCTTGAGACAACTGAAAAGAAAAATACAACACACCAAAACTTAAGGGGTGTCAGGAAAGCAGTTCGGAGGAGGACATTTAGGCTGTAAATGCAAATTTTACAACAGAAGAAAGATCTCCAGTCAACAACCTAATGTTACACCTTAAGGAAGCAGGAAGGGAAGAGCAAACTAGACAGAAAATAGCAGAAAGGAGGAAATAATAAAGATTAGAGCAAAGATAAATGCAATAGAAAATAGAAAAAAAAAAGCAAAACTTGGTTCTTTGGAAAGATCAAGAAATTGACAAACTATTAGCTAGACCACAAAGAAAAAAGACTCAAGTTACTAACATCAGAAATAAGAGTAGGGACAAGACTACCAATTACACAGAAATAAAACGGATTACAAAAGAATACTATGAAAATTTGTAAGCCAACAAATTGGACAAATGAGATGAAATGGACAAATTCCTAAAAACACACAAACCAAAACACAAATACAGAGAAAATCTGAATGGACCTCTAACTAGCAAGGAGATTAAATTAGAAATCAAAACTGTCCTAACGAACAGAAGCCCAGGAGCAGATGGCTCCACTGGCGAATTCAACCAAACATTTAAGTGGCAATACTTCTACAATTCTTCCAAAAACAGAGAGGAGGGAATACTTCCTATCGCATTCCATGAGGCCAGCATTACCCTGATACCAGAACAAGACAAGGGTACAAGACAACTACAGACCAATATCTCTTACAAATACTGATGCCAAAATCCTCAACAAAATACTAGTAAACTGAATTCAACAGCACATTAAAAGGATTATACACCAGAAGAGCAGGATGGCTCAACATATGATCATCCATCAATGTAATACATTACATTAATAGAATGAAGTAAAACACAGACACACATCACAATCATCTCCAATGGTGCAGAAAAGGCATTTGACAAGATTCAATACTCTTTCTTGATTAAAGAAAAAAAACCTGCAATAAATTAAGAATAGAAGAAAATTTCCTCACCATAATGAAGGTCGTATATGACAAGCCCACAATGAACATCATACTCAGTGGTGGCAGACTGAAAGCTTTTCCCCTACGACCAGAAACCAAGCAGATGCCCATCCTCACCACTCCTATTCAATGTAGCACTGGGAGTTCTAGCCAAAACGATCAGACAAAAAAAGGAAATAAAGGGTATTCAAATGAAAAGGAGGAAGTAATATTATCTCTGTTTTGCAGATGACATGATTTTATATACAGAAAACCCTAAAGGTCAAAATTAATCAATAAATTCAGCAAAGCTGCAAGATATAAAATCAATACATAAAAATCAGTTGCATCTCTATACACTGACAACGAACAACCCAAAAAGGAAAATGAGAAAACAATTCTATTTACAACAGCATCAAAAAGAATAAAATACTTAGGGATAAATTTAACCAAGGAGGTGAAAGAAAGACCAGTACACCGAAAACTCAAAACATCGCTGAAAGAAATTTAAAAAGATACAAATAAATGGAAATATACCCTCTGTTCATGGATTGGAAGTTAATGTTGTGAAAATGACAATACTCCCAAAGTAATCTACTGAGTCAATGCAATTCCTATCCAAATTCCAATGATGTTTCTTGTTTTTCATCCTAAAAGGGGCCTTTATAGCCAAAACCATCCTGAAAAAGAAGAACAAAGTTGGAAGACTCACGCTTGTTTCAGTACTACAATGCACAATGATCAAAACAGTGTGATACTG